TCGGGTCCAGAGGTTGCTTGATGAACCTCTGGACTTCGTCCGCCAGTTCTTAAAGATGCCTCTTGACGTGCCTGGGCTAAGGCTCTTCTGCTAGGAGTTACCTGTTTGGGTGGCCATATCTGTGGCTCCCAACCAGGAAATGCTTGCAGAGCATTATGTTATGCGTGGTATCCTCGTGCAGGTGGGGTTGCGGCGACATCAAGAGGCATCTTGTCGCTGTCCTAAGTGCCGTGTTCTGGCAAGTCTGAAGCGTCATCCACTGCGTCCTACTAGTCCCCGGTGACCACACAGGCGCAACGTAGTTCAGAACCGGCCGGCCAATTTTGTAGGGGAGAGGGTTAGGCTCCTTGCAGTGAAGAAGGGAGCAAGCTCGGCGAGATAACCGTTTACATTTGAGCGCAAGTCATCAATTCCATTCCCGGACGCTATAATCGAGCAATCGTTAAGATAAGAGACAAGCGAGACTATCTCTGGTGGTTGAGGGAGCTTTGAAATGTAAAAGTTAAACAGTAATGGGGAAAGGACACTACCCGTGGAACCCCCTGTTTTGTCTTCCTCGGTTTGCTCGATTTGTCTCTAAAAGTTACTGACAAGTGATGACCACTCAGATAATTCGCCGACCACGGTTGAGTCCCTGTGGGAGAGACGAGGCCCCTATGTCTTCCAGTAGCGTTTAATGTCTGACAGTGTCGAATGCCTTAGACAGGTTCAGCGCTACTAGAATGGTTCTCACAGGGGCGCTTTCGGTATAGGCCACGATTTATCTGGGTATTTATGGCGTTAAGTGCTGTTGTTGTGCTATGCTTCGCTGGGGTCAGGTGGTTTGTAAAATACGGAAGTTATCGGACGATAAGACCCTCCTTTGTTGGCTGGTTTCCCCGGTTTGAGCAGTGGGACCACTCCCCCATCTTCCATACGTGGACGGACACACAGGGATTCTAGCATGCAAAACTTACTTGCAACGGCTGCACTTGTTGTAAAACGCTACTTTTTGAATACAAATTATGAATAACTCCGATACCCTGCAAATAAATATGTAAATTATTGTTGTAATTTAAAATATTTCCATTATTTATAATTTTTTTGCCATACTTCAATTTGCCCAATAAGAAAATGAATTTCCACGAAACAATCGATGAAAATATCGGCAGTGTTGCTTGTTGAACTTTTTATACGAAGACAATATTGCACCTTGCATTTTAGTAGTAGTTTCTACAAATCAAAAAAGAAGGCAACACAGGCTAGGGCAGAATGCGGAAGCGAGACAACTGCCAGGTTATCCAACCTTGTATTATTGAATCTTGCAAGCGATGGCTAATTTCCTGTTCGTTTACTTTTTTGCTTTTTCCCTGCAAAAATCGCGACTACTCCATGCATGCATGTAAAGAGAACTCCCGAAGGACCAAGGAGTACTCCAAAATTAACCACAATTCATATAAAAAATATGGTCCAATTAACATTGCGATGTCCTAGGGCAGGACCACATACTCCATCTCTGCATTACATCAGAGTAGCACAAAACTACTCCCAACATACTCAGATGCTTTTTTTGAAATTAATAAAAACCAAAAACAAAAATTTTAAATTAAATCTCTGACGACAATCGAACCCGAACATGCCGGGAGCTAAGAACTAACAGCTAGCATCTCTCCACGTTCAGCTACAGCCAGATATGCAAATGTACTTTCAAATGCTTAACTTCAATCACATTTCGTTAAAACACGAGCAGTGATCGGGTAACAATAAGCTGGTGCAGAGAGACGAGTTGGTCCGCTACAGCATGACAGAGGAGCACTTTTGTAAGTACTCCAATATACCACAAATAGACTACATGGTCCAACGATTTTTGCAGGGTTCTTCTCTTTAGGAGAGTTTTCGCTTACGCTCTTGATTTTGATTGTTGGTTGGCTAATTTTGTTATGGAACGCAACTATGGCCTTTTTGAGTTATTTATTGCAAATTTTTTTATTAATGCTAGTATGCAACGAAAAAGTGAATAAATTTAATAAGCACAACGTTTGTTGAGTTTATTTTTCGTTAATTGGCTATTAATCTCCAGTTTGTTTACTTTAGTGTGTGCTGACTGTGGTTGTCATATAACATTTTTCGTTTCGACCATAATTTACCCTAAAATATACCAAAATAGATTACAATGCAGCATGCTGAAATGTTTTTTTTGCTGAAGTTGTCAGTTTCAGTAGGTTGATTGTTGAAAGCATCTTTCTATTAAATTTTTGTGGATCAATGATGGGTGTTTGGAGGAGATACTGTTGTTTTTGAATGTGTCACCATGCGATATCATAAATAATTATGAGAAAAATAACTTATTCATTCCGATATAGTTAATTTGTATTTTGAAAAGATTTTTCTTATCAAAAACTATTCAATTGTATAAAATTCAAAATCGGGGGAAAATGTACCAAGCAGAAAATAAATAGCCAAATAAACCATAAGTCGCAACTGTGCGCTCTTGTACTTCTGTGGATATTTTGTCTCTTTGAGAGCGAATGCTGCTAAATTTTCAGATTTTTATTTATTTTTTGTTGGATAATTATTTCTGAAGAATACGAGTACACAGCTATTGTTTAGTTTAGCTTGGGGGCATAAACAATCATTTTTCATAAGTAATAAGCATTCTTTAAAGTCATAAAACTGTAAAATATAAATAAAATAGGCTTAGGTTTTAAACTGCATACCTACTTTATTTAACTGTCGGCACTGTGACATACGTAATTATAATGTTGTGCTTGGGTTCGTGCAGCTCCAACTGTATTAGTTGAGGGTTAACTTATCGCTGTAAAATTGCCTATTGCTGACGAATATTTTCTTAACATTTTTTCAGGGACTATTTCCGTCATGTAATGGTGATAAATTCTACTGTTTGGCAGTGCGAAGCAACTGGCCGCGACAATCTCACCTACGCAGAGGCATTACGAAGTGAACGACGCGCGCGTAAGAAAATGGAACTTTTTAAATATTGTCTTCGAGCACCTGTACTGTTAGTAATTGAAAACTCTAAGCAATCCTCATTGAACACTCTGTGTGTGATCTTATGCAAGTTTTTGCGCAAACGCTTTTTTATTAATGAAGAAGTAATGGCCTGTCACAAGTCGTCTACTTATTATCCCTACACTGTTATAGGCATTATTCCATATACTAAAGCACCTCCAGCCAACGGCGTATACGAGGAAACTGAGAAACTTCAATACAAATTGCGCCGAAAAGGAAGCAATGAAGCAGAAGTAATTGTTCCTTTTGAAAAAATACGACGTCAGCGGCAGGACTTTACTACAGAAAACTTACAGATGTTCGTGAAAGATAATGTAACACGTATAGATGGTATATTACGGCCAAAACCAGAGTCTTATAAAAAATATGTGACAGGTGATAAGATTCATTTCGAAAATATTTTCATAGGAAAAATGCCTCATTTCACACCCGCAAAAATTAAACGTCCACCGCAAGACTCTGGTAATAAGAAACAATCGACACTGAATAAATACTTTACCAAAGATGGAGAATCAGAAAGCAGTGGCAAATTGAGTGAACAAGAGGCAGCTAGACAAGAGAAAAAACGTGCTGATGAGGAAGCCAGAATGCTTGAGAAACTCAAGCGTATTGCTGAACAGGAACGGCAAAAAGTTGAGAAACGCGCCAAGTTAATTGAGCGCGTGGAAGCAGAATGCACTGCACTGCTTACAAAGACTGATGACTTGGAGCGCACAGACCAGCGTTTACTGCCCATATATAAAGCCGTCAAAACATATATACCAACCAAGCTCGTTGGAGATGCCTTCATGATTCGAGAATTCATGCATTGCTTCCCAACCATATTGTCAGGCATCGAAGTTTTTCGCGGCAATTTAAGTTTTTATGATATGTGCCGCGCTTTTAGTTTACGCGAAGTGGCTGGACCACTATCCGACATCATTTTAATATTTCTGGGTACAGTTTTTGATTTGCAGAAGGAAGAAGAGGAAGATTGTAGCGTTGAGTATGTGCTTTTGCGGCCAGAGATGCGAAAACGTGAACCTTTGATAACTATGTCCGAGGCTGCTCGTGCCCATTCCTACGCAAAACGACATTTCTCTTTTAAAATAAATGAGTTGCCGATCGATTCTTTGACGCTGGGGGAAGTTTTGCGTTTACATCTGCTATCGTCTGGATCTTTGGTGAAAGAACGAGCTGAGAAATGGAGAATTAAATATAGAAATGGTTATTCATCGTCGGAGGATCCCGGACTTGCGCTGCGCATGAGGCACCCGCACATTTTGCGTGCACTAAAGATGTACACTCTCTACCAGTTACCATTTATTGACATTATGCGTATTGTACGTTGCTTGATGGCTCAAATACTCACTTACTCAAGCCCAATAAACCTTATTGAAGAACGTATGGAGCAGGTGTCAATAAGTCGGACAGAGTTGCGAGTATTAAGCACCATGGAGAATATGCGTTTGGCGAATGTTCAAACGCAAAAGCGAACTCTAACTAATGAGTTCCACCAACAATGCATGACAGATGAGGTAAAGAGTAACGAAGAGAAAAAAAAACAACTAGAGGATAAATTGAATAAAAAAATTGCAGAATTACTGGCACAATCAGAACGGGAGCGTAGAAAGTTCGAACAGCAATTACAAGGTTTTAATTCATCAATATTCAACTTTCTGGTTTACCTTGGCATGGATCGTGCATACCGTAAATATTACGTTTTAGAATCAATGCCAGGCGTTTTTGTTGAGCATACGCCAGATAACCTTGACACTTGTTTAAGTGAACCTCCCCAAAACGCTTTGGTGGAAAATGCCTTACTCTCAAATATTGAAAACTTGCCAAGAACCCGAAAAGACTTACGTGCGTATTTATTAAAAATGTATACTAATGAAGACAAGCAGGCAGCAAAGGCCGAAAAGGCAAAAAGGGCATCGAAAAGTACAGGGCCTATTGCCGCGACACAAGAACACAAGGAAGATAAAGAAAACCATCTAGTAAATGGTATCGNCATTTATAAAAACTTTACATCACAAAAACAAAAACATCGATTTAATAGTTTTCCAAATATCTCAAAAACGGGGCGAGGAAAAAATTAAAAAAAAAATCACACATACACATATCAAAATTCTCTATGTAAAGAGATATTTAAATAAAATTTTCATGAAAAATTTTTCGCGTATATATTTTTTGATACAAAAAATTAGTTTTTGAAAATATGCCATTTCAAAAAAGATTAAAGAAAATCACAATGTTAGCTCTAAGTATTTCGCAATATTTAAGTATAGTATTATGGAGTGCACTCTACAATAATTTGAGTTATGAATTTTGAATTTGAGTAAAATGAGTACATTACAAATTTACAAATGTTTAAAAAATTTTGTGAATTTTTTTGAGTATACAGTTTTGTAGTCCATTAAATTATAGTATGACAAAGTGCGATTGCAAAACTGGCGTTAATTTTTTTTTGCAAAAAGCCGTCAGCATAAAAAAATACTAAAAATCAACGCAATTTTGCAGTAGCTTAAAACTTGCACTTTATCATACTAACATTTTTAGGGCCACAAGACTCACAAAAAAAAAATTGTAATGTACTGATTTTACTCAACATATGTAGATGTTAAAAAAATTCATAACTCAAATTATTGTAGGGAGCACCCCACAATACTATACTTAAATATTGCGCAATACTCAGAGCTACCATTGTGATTTTTTTCAATTGTTTTTAGATGGAATATTTTCAAAACAATTTTTTTTTATCAAAAAATTTGTATGTGAAAAATTTTTCAAGAAAATAAAATTTTATATATCTCTTTTCATAGAGAATTTTGACGTGTGTATGTGAGATTTTATCAATTTTCATCCTCGCCCCGTTGCCGGGATATATGGAAAACTATTAAATCGATTTGTTTTTGTTTTTGTGCTGTAAAGTTTTTAAAAACGTATTAATCAAGCTCAAATTTCATATTTATTTATTATTTATGTTTATGCATCAACCCCAAAAATTTAAAACCAATCAAACACATGAAGTGTGAACCCCCTCCGTTTTGGTAAGCAAAATAAAAATTAAACCAGCTGATAGTCAACGAGCACAAAAAATTTTGAACATATGTATTTTCACTTCGCGCTGCAGATTAACGATCTATGTGGCATGCTTCGTGCATGTTCATACATTTCATCCTATATGTCAAAGCGAACCTATCATGCAAAGCGAAGCAAGCGTTTTATTGGCAAGGCCTTAAGTGTTTGGTTGACCTTTTTCTCCAAATTGTGGTGTGGTGTAATAACTAGGGGTCGGAAGCTCAGGCACTTAAAATTCAATAAAAATGCGCCGCAAACAAATAAAATATGCAATTAAAAATATTTTCCTAATGTTTTATTGCCAGTACAAAAATTAATAACACATGTATTTTAACAAGAAAATAACGAAAACAATTCACTTCAAAATACAATACATATTTATGTATCAAATTAGTTTATAAATAAGCAGTCAGATACAATCTTGTGTTGATCAGAGATATAGGCCAGCTCTCTCCTACAGTCTTTCACTAGTTGAGATCTAATAGAGGTAGAAGAGAGTATCTCAATGGCCGCTTGGCTATCCGAAAAAATATTCAGATGAATATTTAGGAAGAAATTATTGGGATTGTTTTTGCAAGAGATTTCGTACTAAATTTAAATGGTTGTAAATCAAAAAAAGCAAAAGTATGCAAAAACCATATGCATTTATTGGAAACTTTGTGATTCGGGAAGATAATTTAACCATTTCGATTTGAACATGCCCAATAAAAACATGCATTTGCATGAGATTCCGAGCCCTAGTAATAACCTACACAAACCACGTGATCAAAATCTCCCATGCTTGAGTTATAGTGGCCTCGTTCGGGGTGGATCACTGCTTTCAAGTTTCTAAAAGTGCTTCACTTTTTAATTCCACTCTCCTGGCGTCCTTTGCACAATTTTCCTCTATACTTTGCTTACGTTTTTTTTTGGCCGCTCAATTTTAGATCTGTTCGTTTAAAAACAGATTTTCGAACATGTTAAATGGTTTAACGGGGTTAATTCTATTGCGAACAGTTTGTGATTTAAACATATTTAAAATTTAGTAATCTCAATTTAATTATAACGCAGGTGTTTCTTCATTTAAATGTTCTGCACGATTGCATTCTTTGGGCTCGTTCAACTAACAAATCTCTCTGTCAAGTATGCCGTCGGGGCAGTGATCCAGACAAAATGTTGCTATGCGATGAATGTAATGGTGGCACTCACATGTTCTGCATGAAACCCAAAATGAAGACCGTGCCCGAGGGTAATTGGTACTGCGCTCGGTGTGTCAAACGTTTGGGCTTACGTAATGAAAATGAGGAAAAAAATAGTAAAACTTCATCGCAAAAACGAAAACGTACATTCAATATTGACGATAATATAGATGATGGTATGGTGAATGGCTCTAAAGATGGTGAGCGTGTACGTAGTACCGGACGCCGTAGTAATAAGCGCTTGCAATCAAATGAAATCGAAGAGGCACTGGATAATTACAACGACGAGGCTACGCACGACAGTGATGAAGAAGCAAATGGTGAATCTGAAGATGCAAATAATGACAGCGGTAACTCGGGCGACGATGGTGAAGGAGGTAGTGATAAAGACGAAGATGCTGAAGATGAGGCTGAGGTTGATGCAAGGAAAAAGTCTGAGGATGGATCAGAGCAAGAGGAGTAAGTGCTTATTGCTAACTTTATTTCGAAAATATTTATAGTGAAATAGTGCAACGAGATGAGGAATTTTCTCTTGAAAATGCCCAGAGAATTTGTTTGTAACTTTTCCGTAATGGGTATCAATAACAAAAAAAATATTTTTTACTTGGTGATTTGCAGCGAAAATGCACACTATCCAATTCCTATGTAGAATTGCTCGCTGATTCCGAAAATCGAGTTAATTTTTTTTCTATGGATACATTTTTAGCTTAAAATAGGTGTTCTAGTAAAAACATTGTATGGGAGAAAAATATGTCACATCCGTTATCAGATTCGATACTACCGGTGCGGTAGAAAAATTTACGATGTGTCATCAATACAAATACTGCGGTATATGGGAGTACTAAAACAGATGCGGTTTACCGGTGTGACACGGATCGTTTAAAAATCCTGTCGCAGCAAGCACAATTGATCGCACGATATGAGTGACTTGTTAAAATGGAATTAAATTCAACTCGTCAATTGTTACCCCATATTTAGAGTCCGATATCGGATATGAGTGACTTGTTAAAATGGAATTAAATTCAACTCGTCAATTGTTACCCCATATTTAGAGTCCGATATCGGATATGAGTGACTTGTTAAAATGGAATTAAATTCAACTCGTCAATTGTTACCCCATATTTAGAGTCCGACGTCACAAAATTGAGCATCGGCATCAGCAAAAAAAAAGTTACTGAAATTAACGGGATTTTATAGCAGCTTAAAACTTACACTTAATTATACTAGAATTAAATGGTCTACAAAACTGCATACCAAAATTCCGATTAAAAAGTTTGAAATTTTGGTGAAAATAAGCAGAATTTTTCTAATTTTTGTACAAAGTTTGAAATCTGAATTTATATGGTGTTTGTTGTATACCAGCTAGACTTTTATTAAAAAAATAATAAACATTAAATAAACAAAATACAAATGCCAAATGCCAAAACCGGTCAAAATATCGCAATTCTTTTATTTTGTGGACCACTAAATGTATGTGCATACATACCTAGCATACACATACATAAATTCGTATGCATTGAGTTCAAGAGTGTATTTTAGCACAGAACGGAATGAAATTTTATGTTCCTAAATATTTTTTGCTTAGCACCATATAAAAAAGGGTTTTATGTAATGTACATAAATTTGATATATGTCCATACATATATTTTTACATATACATACATATACATTGGGGTGCCCATCGAGAATGCTTTCTTTGGAAATATTAAGACCCTACCCCCTAATTTTATTCGTTTTTATGAGAAATATCATTGCCTATTTTTATAGATTTTTTAAAGGTCATTTAGAGGTCGATTTAGGTCAGAAAATAGGATTTAAAATGGTATATAATAATCTATTGTCGGACTAGGCTTGTTGGGATTTTTTATCGGGTAAATTAAAAAAAGACCCATATATACATATGTATATTAATTTTTTAAATTTTACCATCGATAATTTCATAATTTCAAAATATGGAGATCTATCTAAAATTAAATCTATTTTCAAATAAAGTGATACCTCATTTATTGCAATCGCATAAAAATTGCCGAATTTAGGCGACTTTTCTTAAATACGGCCTTGAATTTATACATATGTGTGTATGTACCGGAATTTCAGATTTTTTGAGCAGTGTGGCTAAATAGTTCATCAATATTTATTCTTAATTGATGTATACAGGCGCTCTTAAGCAAAAAAAGTGGTTTTTCTAGAATTTTAGGAAAATGGGGGTGGCACCGCCCACTTATATGATAATATCTCCAAAACTACTTGACCGTCTTGAATATTTTTGAAATCGGACAAAACCTAGTCTCCCTAAAATATAGCTAGCTTTGAATTTTTTGAAATTACCATTACGCTAGTGGAGCTCGTGGTTTATGTCCGATTTCAAAAAAATTCCAACGACGCTTAAGAGTCCTAAAAAAATAAGGTTTTCGGAATCAGCGAGCAATTCTACATAGGAATTGGATATGGGCATCAGGTGAACAAAAAAAAAAACAATAGTGTTCCAGTGTTATCTGACATAACAAGTAATCATAATCCTTCGTTGAATCCCAAGCGTCACATATTTTTGTGACGATTTTTTAATTGACTATCGCCACTATGGAAGTTACATTTAAAAAAAACTTGGAGTCCGTTTGCAATTTAAGATTTTATTAATTTCTTTTCTGATTTCAACTTTTTTCTTTCAAATAGAGATGATAATGTTTGTGTTGTCTGCTCATACGATGGAAGCGATTTGATGTGTATACGCTGCAAAGAAACTTTCCATTTAGAGTGCATTAACATGAAGCGAGCCCCTCGTTATAATTTTATATGTTCCAAATGTAAATCGACGAACGGGAATGATAAAAGGTCTCCAAAAAGCGCACGAAGTAATGGCAAACACATATTGGATTCTTCAAACGATGACGATGACGAGGATTCTGAACCATTGGTGAAACGCAAGCGACCGTCACGGTCATCTTTACGCCATTCTGGTTATCAGCAGCAGCCACAGCAACAGAATGGCCTAGACAGCAGTCCACGCGAAGCGGCTAAATCGGCATCACAACGGCGGTCAATTCGTCGAACCGGTGACCATTTACCATTGAACAGTGCCGCATTGTATGAACTTCTCGATGATGTTATGAAACACCAAGATGCTTGGCCGTTCACACGTCCCGTTTCACAGGCTGAAGTACCGGACTATCACAAGATTATAAAAACGCCTATGGACTTAGCAAAGGTGAAGTCAAAGTTAAATATGGGCGCATATCAACTGAATGAGGAAGTAATGAAGGACATACAATTAATCTTTCGAAATTGCGATGAATACAATGTAAAAGGAAACGAAATTTACACGTGAGTAAAGTAAAGTAATTAGCTCGAACTAAAAATGTTAACATTGTCATTTCAGTGCTGGTTGTACGTTGGAAAACTATGTTATAGAGCAATGCAAACGCTTAAATCTACCATTTAAACCCAGCGACATGAATTCTTCGTAATAACTATAAAAAATATTTCATAAAATTACAATTACAAGAGTTGTAACCTCATGAGCTAAATAGGAGTGACTTCAACTGTTTCTTAGTACCGCATAGAAAAAATATTTTGAAAACCAATAACAATCATCGTTACAGTTTTAAATTTGTTGTAAACGCATATTTTGGAAGTTTTTTTTTTAAATACCGTCCGATTATAGTCCACGCACGCACCTATCTATTACTGCTGCACAAATAGGGAATTCGCCAGGTGTTATAAAATATCGTACTTTTTATAGCGGCTAAAAATATATTTTGGTGTACCATGACAACATCAACACCGTTGTGACACCTTGTGAATCATCTTATGGTTAAACATTACATTAAATATGTACTTAATGTAACTTAACGTTTAAAAAAAACAGTTATACATGTTTCGTATATAACAGGTTGGCTTTAAGTTATGTTACGTTAAGTCTACATCTAGGCAGTGTTTTGTTGTTAAAATTTGATTTTAATTATGACAAGAAGTTTGAAGTAAACATTTAGCTCCTAAATTCCAAATATACAGCGCTCTGATTAAGCCGATTTATGGCCCAGTTACTCAATGTTAACACTAACTGCAGATTAAACATCGTTATCGACGTGGTGCACTCCATAACATATAACAGGGTATCAACAACGTCGATGGCGATGTTTAACCTGTAGTAGTAGACATTAAGAAACCGGCGCCAAGAATATAGCTCCGCAACAAGGTATTCAGGCGTTGATTTTCGGCGCTGATGCCATAATATACAACTTGCAGCTGAATAGAGCGCTGAAAGCATAAAAAGCGCATTATGCCTGAAAAGCTTGTTGTGGGGTTGTGCTCTAAAAGCGTTTAGAAAATTTTAAGAAACACATAATGCTTATTTAATGCAGAAATAGCTATTAACTTTGTAAGTTCATGCAAAATCGTATGTTTAAGTCTAGATTAAGTAAAATTTCAAATTAAGAACAAAAAAATAAAATAAACGAAATTGATCACATTATCACAAGCAAGAATATAATAATTATTACTATTACAAATTTGTGTTGTCTGAATTGGAAATTGGGGTTTAAAACAGCGATTCGAGCAAAAATGAACTCTGTGAAGGGAAAATATTGTGTTTGAAAATACCCCTATCCATACGGTGACCAGATTTCTGTGGCCAAAAATCGGGACATTTCTATAGCATCGAATCCGAATATACAATTTTGATTTTGGAACAAAGAGGCTTAATACAGTCTTATTTAAAACAAAAAAAGAGAGAAAAAACAATTAAAAATGCATATTATTTTTTTATGAACATATAACTTACTAGGGCGTATTCTTGTTTTCGTACGAATCGAAAATCATGAAATTTTCCTATCATTTTCTATACAAAATTTTCAAATAATACTATCTAAAAAAACATGTAAATCAAAATTTCAAAATTTGTAGAACATTTATAACAATTCGAAGAATTTGAATAAATGTTCATCACAATTTGAAACATTTTAATCAGATTTTCTAGAATGCTTTTGAGTATGCGATGTTTTGAAGCCCATTAAATTTTAGTATAATAAGGTGCCAGTTGGAAGAAGCTTAGACTTACCGATAATTTTTGGCAATTTTTTTCGCGTTTTTTTTTACATACACAGTACAATTTTTTTGTATGGAGAAAATGAACAACAGCTTCCACAAATATAACTAAATATCAACGGTATGTCCTAGCTACTTAAAATTTCCAATTTGAATCGAATAGGTTACAAAACTGCATACTCAGAATCAAGGTACATTGAACAGGTAGTATCAGTAGAGCAGCTGATTTGATTTATTTTCAAATTATTTGGTCTCGAAAATGTCAAATATTTTTAATTTTTTCTCACAAAAATTCTGAATTGTTAAAATCCATTTGCATGTGAAACCTTTTTCCATACAAAACAAGCGATTGAATAGCAGCTTTTGGAACGTTCGCCCAACTCGGCAGCACGACCGCTGGATGGATCAATGCTTCGAGAAGCAAACAAATTTACTAGGAAAGAAAGTTGCATCAATTTTTATTTTTTCCAATTTCAATTTTTTATTTTTTATAATATTTTGTATTTCACATGGCACGCTTTGATTTAGCAGAAAAAATTTAGAACAGTTTTTGACACTTTCGATACCAGAAGCAACAACAAAATACACGCAAATGTTGTCTTTTGCTCTACTGATACTACCTGTTTAATGTGCCTTGCTCAGAATCATGATACAAAAAAGAAGGTAGTTTCAATAAACAACTTTTTGATTAAAAAGGAGATTTTTGACAATTGCTCAATTGTAAAAAATTCGAAGCACCGTTACCCAATTTAAGTTTTTTGATGGAAGGGATTTTCTATCCTAAATTTGGGACTATAAATAAAATAGTTGTATTAACATTTACCTTTAAAAATAATTAATATCCTATCTTAAAAACGTTAAAATTTTACATTAAATTCGATAACTACTTGCCAAGATCTTTATTTTTACATTAATAAAATTTTAGTGAGCATATTTTAAAATTTGTTTAGTGTCATTATGTCACCTGAATATTTCACAATGTAGCTGGCGACTGTTACAGTTTTCTATGGCATGACTGTCAGAGAAGTGAGTGTTTTCCAATTCTAATATATTTCGACAATATCGTTGTTTCTTTGCGTAAAAATAAATATATTTTACTGTTCAATATTGGAGGGGGTGTGAAACAACATTGATGATTATATTGTTAGTATGAAAACTGGAAACACAATTATCATCTTATTGAGCATTAGACCTCTTCTCTTTCAAAAACAAAAGGGGAAATGTTCGGTTATTTATGCAACGGCTTTGGGGTGGGGATGGAGACGGAGGGGAAATTCATTGAAAAATGGAATAAAATTAGCATTTTGACAGAGAAAATGTAAGTCCAACTCCGGCTACGCTGACCACAGTATTTTTTACAAAAATGTCCATATTTCAAACCGAATTTATTCATAAATTTGTGTCTGAAAATTTGAAATCTTTATTTTAAACTAACGTTTAATTGTTTGACCACACGTGTGGTAAAATTTTTTGCTTTGGGTTCAGCGTTTGGCCACACCTAAGCAAATGCCTTTTCTTAAAATTTCATACCTTGTATTCAATTTGTTCAAATAAATTTAAGTGAAAGATATATTTTAAGAAAAAGCAATTGCTCAGTTTTTATGCATACGGCCCAATAAGCCAACATTATTGTACAAGTAAAATACCTTTTGCTTGTTCAAATTTCGATTCTAAGAACAAAACGTTAGTAAACAAACAAAAATATAATAAAAAAATTTGGAGGATTTTAGATATTGGGTATCGTATCACGAACTTCCACAATCTACTTAATTGTCAGGTTGTTAATATGGCGACGAAAAAGTGACAATGGAACTACCTTCTTTTTTGTATCATGCTCAGAATGTTTCTAAGAACGCTAATGAACCTTTGTCGAATTTTGCTAAAATTTGTACAAAGCTTCAAATTATGACTTACAGTATCGGTCATATCTATAGCACGCCATTTCAAAATGATATTGTGTGCCACTTATGTTTATTTATTTATTTTTAAGAATTTTCAATTAAAATTTAGTTCATTCTCAACAAACCCCATATTACCCAAGTTAACAATTTGTAGAAACTACAAAAAAGTGAACAATTTTCACTAAATTTGAAACTTTTTTCCCGGAAGTGTTAGAATTTTTTTGATACACAGTTTTTTAGTCCCATCAATTTTAGTCTGATAATGTGTAATTTCAAGTGGCTAGAGTTACCGTTAATTTTTTAGAATTTTTTTTGTCGCATTGGCTTCCATATAATGAATAAACTCAATTTATTTGTACTAGTGTTCGCCCAGCGGTTGAAATTCAACCGATAAAATTAAGGATAGTTTATGTAAGTTGAATGAGCTAAAATAACATTAGTTGGAATGGGTTAAGTGGAGGGGAGTTTAGCTTAGTACTTGGTATAACATAACATAACCATAACATAAGAAGAAATAACATAACATATGAAGCATAACACACCACAATATAACATCGCACACTCTTCAGTTGTATTTCCTTTTTATCCCTTTTTTCTCCTCTATCTAAATCTTATTTATTTTGGTTCATTTTATGCCAAATGATGTTGCCTTTGATGCCACATCAAGTGATATCATGTCATGTGGTGAAATTGGGTGTGGTGGAATTGGGTGTAGGAGTTACGGTGTGGTGAATTTAGGTGTGGTGGATTCAGGTGTGGTGAGTTAAGTTATGGTGAGAAAGTTGAGGTGTGGTGAATTAAGGTGTGGTGGATTTGGGTGTGGGGGGTTAACGTGTGGTGAGTTGAGGTGTGGTGAATTAAGGTGTGGTGAATTTAGGTGTGTGGAGTTAAGGTGTGGTGAGTTGAGGTGTGGTGAGAGAGTTGAAGTGTGGTGAATTACGGTGTGGGGGTTAAGTTGTGGTGTCACTTATTCGTCTTCATCTTCATCTTCATCTTCATCTTCATCTTCGTCGTCTTGGTCTTCATTTTTATCTTTTCCTTTATCCTGATCTAAATATGTCCATTCTTTTCTTCATTTACATATTCACCCCCACCATTGTTATTAGGTTAGGTATTTAAATTTTCCTTCCTCTTTGTCTTTATATCTAGGTTTCTTTACTTTTATTTTAATTTCTGTATTTATCACTTTCTTCTTCTCCATACTCAACTTTACCTTCTTCCTTGTTTGAGTCTAATCTATTCATGTACATACATACATACATCTTATTCCTAAACTGCTGCTTAGCACGTTTCTTTAATTCACTATCAATATTAAAGCATACATTTGGGAGGCATTTCCGCCCCAACCATGTACATGTATGGCATTGGTATTGGTGTGACTTTTGAATTGATTTTTTCGCTCTATTTTAAACTAATTTGAAATTTTAAAAATTGCCTGCAAATCAGCATCAAAATACCTTTCTAATGATATATAATTCTTTATACCTTAGAAGTACAGTTTATCCGTAAAAGGGGTGTAAAGGAAACATTATTGCCTATTTATATAATTGATGATGATGATATGATGATATGGGAGAAAACCGCAACACCTTTGGCGAAAAAAATTCTAAAAAATCAACGGTAACTTTTAGCCACTTGAAACTTGCACATTATTAGACTAAAATTGATTGGGCTATAAAACTGTGTATTCAGAAAAATTCAAACACTTCCGAGAAAAAAGTTTGAAATTTAGGTGAAAATTTGTTGCACTTTTTTGTAGTTTTCTACAAATTTTTAAACTTGGGTTTATATGGGTTTTGTTAGCGAAAGAACTGTATTTTAATTGAAAATTCTTAAAAATAAATAAATAAACATAAGTGGCACACAATATCACTTTGAAATGGCGTGCTATAGATATGACCGATACTTACATGTCCTTTGTTAGATAACGAGCCACATTTTCATAAAAAGGAATAAACATTAAATAATCGAAAGGGGAATAGCCAAAGAGCGCTAAAAGGTCTCTTCCCTATTTATATTTTCGCCACTCTATCTACAGCTTAAATTTTTCATATCCACAATTTTTTTGAGGGTTTTAGTATTGTTTTTTATAATTTCATTAAATTTTGTATATATTATTAATTATTAACAAGGATGCTGGCTTTATTTACTGCTCACTTATATTTATTCTATGTCCTTTATGATAACGAAAGTGCTGCCACGTTTGTACGAACAATTGTTTTTAGGCCAGAGTACAGGGGAGTCTTAAGTCTTTTAAAAAATATTCAGCGGGACAATTTTCCCAAAATCGGTACTGTCCCGCCAAAATCGGTACGAATGGTCATTGATTTAATTTTACAACTAATATGAAACATACGTTTTATGTAAGCTCCTATATTTGCACATTAAACGTGTTTGTGCTAAAAATTAATTTTTTATTTAAGTTTTGAATGCTTTAAATAGATTGCTATTGAAGTACTTGAGTTACTGCTGTAAAGTGGCACCGAGACGATCAAATATGTTTATCAACGCTTTAAGTCGGCTTAACGTACACTACACCCATGCTTGATGAAAATCAAAAAATTTTGATATTTGAATTTGCCGACTTTATTTGACCGTCTCGCGTTATGCTTGACAAAAAACAAGCTCACTTGCCTTCTGGTCGTCGTGGTGATTAAATTAAATGCGCGGACAAGAAAAAGAAATTGTTTTACGTTTGATTGAACATTACCAATGCTTACTAGCTTTATGAAAAGCTGTTTGCCTGTTACGTTTTCAACTTTGCGCCGCCTAAATACTTATTTGAGATCAATGGGCCAGCTTCTCAATATTCATCGCAATCTGGATGTTAATGTTGACTCAGTATTAAACAGATTTTTATCTCAAAGTTGGCGAATTGCATTATTGAAGGCAGAATAGGAATGATATCCTTTGTTGACTCACAACATACATACATACATATGTACACATATGTTTAATACATACATATGTATAGAAAGGCCCTATCTCACATCATCGCTGAAATAAACGATGCGGGGGTCTATAATTTGATGAAATGCATGTTAATCAATCAAANCATACATATGTACACATATGTTTAATACATACATATGTATAGAAAGGCCCTATCTCACATCATCGCTGAAATGCAAAAAAGCCGTAACTAACTTAACATTTTTATTGTATAAAACGATGCGGGGGTCTATAATTTGATGAAATGCATGTTAATCAATCAAAAAGGGGAATTTGGATTTTTAGTTACGACATTTTGTATTTCAGCGACCTTTATATTAAATTCCCGCTCAGAGCCAGTTAATGACTCGTTAACGGCATTTAATGAACATTAAAGTTAAGTGAAGAAAAACCATTACTTAACTTTTTAACGAATGATTTTTGCAATTTTTTGTTTGTTTCCAATAAATTTAAATTTCGATACGTTGCTGTAACAGTGGCAATGGCTGAGTGAGCAGAGCACTTTCCTGCCATTCGATAAATCCGAGTTCGAGTCCTAGGGCAGGAAAATTTTCGTTTTCCACCGAGACATATATATGTGATCATAAGTGGGCGGCGCCACGCCCATTTTTCAAAATTTTATGATAACCGTATTTCTTGGTAAAGAATTGTTGCAAACAGCTATTTTGAATAAATTAGCTTTAATATTTACTGATTTATCGAAATTATATTTCTCTAAATTACCGTTATATGGGATGTGGGCGTGGTTATTGTTCGATTTTAAAAAATTTTCAGCCATTTGGTTAAGATATCTCAATTTTTACTCGAGTTATCGTCTGCACAGACGGGCGTACGGACGGGCGGATAGACAGTCATCGCTTAATCGATTTCTATTTTCATTCTGATCATTTATGTATACATTTGTCTATATCTATCTCGATTCGTTTTGTCTGTTACAAGCAACCGTTATACACAAGTGCGCTCGGGTATAACAATTTCTCTGAACATGTTTATTCTACTCTATAAAGAAATGGCGAATTGTTTGCCATTTTTTCGCTATTTACTCGAAATTTTGAGGGTGTACGAATCAAATGGATCTCTGAATCGGATTCAGCGGGTCGAAATGCATGTGGGTAGGTGGGTCTAGTTAAAAACACACATCCCTTTTTTATGCCGGCGCACAGTGTAGAAGCGCAATGAGACCGTAATAAGAATTATAAATTGCTTGATTTCTCTGCAAAATCTCAGCGTATAATGACAAAGTACAAAGCAAAAAAATATTAGAGACTATGTAAGAGCCAGGGATATAGTGAAATATGTGCAAACCACTTTACCCACGATTTTTAAACATTGAAAAGGAAAGCTAAAAGCGACCAAAAAAAGCCCTCCGCAATATGCCTGAAAACTTAAACAGGTCAATCGTATGCAGGGAACGGATTTTATGGAAATTGCCGTTTTTCTGCTAAAGGGATAGAAAATATTCGCTTTCCCCGATTCCATATATATACATTTGATATTGTCTTTTTTATATATTTGCCTTTTTTGCCTTTTCTACCTTAAAAAAAAGTGATAATAGCATTTAAATTTTTTATTTAATATTGGCAGCATTTTTTGGACTAAACTTTTTTGTTTACTTATTCCACCATGTCCCCCCGTAGCTTAACCACGTGGTTATGGCTACTGAGTTGGTTATCCCGATAACCCACTTGATTTAGCGTAGTTTCGCCATATAAAAATGACAGCACTTAACCATTTCACTGAGATGGTTAAAAGCTAACCAACTCGAAACCACGTCGAAAGTCTGATGCAACCCTGTGTTTTCCCGCCATCTGTGGGTCATCAGCGTTAAAATTGAAAAAAAAAAAATCGTTCCCTACCAGTGTTTGACTACAATTAGATTAGATTTACTCCGGTTTTAGAAAAAATTTGAAATCTAGTCCTCTACTCTGCTTGACTTCAAAGCTGTTCCGTTTTTTCACTCTGTTCTGTTCCTTTTAGGCCCATTTTTTGTGTGTTCACCCCCGGTTTCAATAAAAAATTGAAAGTTAAGCAAAGTATCATTGATAAAAAGTAACTTGTTCATAAAAATGAGTTAATACATTTTTTTACGTTATTTTTTGATATATGGACGTAGAGATTGGCGGATGCAGAACTTTACCTAAGTTGTTGAAAAATATATGTAGAACGAAATTTATATAAGTAGAAAAGGGAGTATTCGAGAGAAAGATTTTGCGGAAGATTCACGGACCTTTACGCGTTGGCCATGACGAGTTCCGCTGACGATGGAACAATGAGCTGTATGAGCTTTACAGCGATATAGACATAGTGCAGCGAATTAAAATACAGCGACTCTGCTGGCCTGGCTATGTCATCCCAATGGGCTCCACGCTCCCAGAACGCTGAATTCCAGAACCTGCCCGATTATCTACAAATTGCCTCGCGTACTTATTTTTACATGAATGGAAAATATTTAAGTCATACAATTAATGTCAAAAGCGAAAATAAAAAATGCATATCTGGTACGGAAAATTTGTTTTCGCTCCGATTTTTGAAGCGATTTAGTCCTGAATCAAGTTTTAATAATCCGTTCTGTTCTAAACATTCGTAATGTTTTATAAACCTCAAACCGCAGTGTGGACAGCAATAATTAGTGATGTGGTTAAGTTCGATTTGAGAAATGGCATTATCTGGAATGTATAGAGAACCGCAGCCATTAAAGAATAAATGCCCAGGGGCCAATTCTTTATGCTGAATACTGTCATCATGTCCTGTACATTTCCATAAAATGGAATCAGCACCTTTTCACAATTACGACGTAGCCTCATTATAGAATAAAAACCAAAATTAACTTTTGACGAAACAAAGTTTTCAATTTTATTTTATTGATATAATTACGCTTTCATTAATGTTCAATGGATGTATGTATGTATGTATTATTTAGGCTTGTATATTTTTAGGTATTCACAGAAAATGTCATAAATTTTGAATTGTTCTTATGTAATATGTATTATGTGTAAGTAAATATTCATCAGTTGCTGAAGTATCTACAGCCAAAGTATGGAGTAATTAGCCTTACTTAAACTCGCACGACCTGTGCGTACCTGGAAAAAGTGGACGCTGCTTGCGAACCGCCAATGAAACAAAAAGGCTACTCTTAGCCTAAGAATTTATTGGAGCTTTTTTTAATTTTCGTTTAATCTCTCCGATTCCATTTTATTAATAATTTACCTCAATAGTTTTTATCTCAGTTGCATTTAATCACTCTCATCAGAGTCTTCAGTAAATTTTTTCCGATAATTGCGCCGCACACGTGCCACTTTCTGCTGGAACAGTCCCATTGGTGTATTCGCATTTTCATTATTAAGTGGTAACAAACGATGATTGGCACCGGTTCCACTATTGTTGTTCGGTGTTGGGCGCCCTTCACTGCCGGAGATGCCACTACTGCGATGCCACAGACTAGTTGTGGAATCACTAGAGCTGGGACAGATCGTGCTCACTTGGCTAGGTGTCACGGTGGCACCTATACTGATGCCGCTGTCTGGTGTACGCAGCAACAAAGTGTCATTCTGATCATGCATTCCAAGTATATTTTGCTCAAAGTTCAGTTCGTAATTGTGGTGACTAGCATTGTTATCGCTATTGTTGCCATTGCTAATGCTATTGTGGTGTGCCTTTTGTGAGGATTCAGCTATCTCTGATGCTTCGCCATTTTCAGATATACCATTTCTTTCAAGCGCATCGCGATGAAAGTTGTTGTTGCTATTGGCATCACTGATAATTCTGTTACTGCTAATCGGATAGTCATGGTCATTATGAGCCTCATTGTTATTGTTCTGTTGATTCCATTTGGTATCGACGTCGCGATCAGAGCCCACCTCGGCATCGTGGGCCCGCAAAATTGAAATTCTTCGGCGTTTCAAAGGCGTCGAATAGATGTTTGTGGTGTGCCTATTATCATTGCCACAAGTTTCGCCGTTAGAGCCACTCACAACGTTTTCGTTGGCATCAGGAACTATATCACTGACAAAGCATAAAGACGAGGCTGACGATTCGACAACATCGTCTGGGAAACTGCTGTTTGAAAGTCTGGAATTCGAGTGGCTCGAATAGTTGTCCGAAAGGGCCAAGTGTGCGCGGCGCCGCCGATTTGGGATGATAATGTGACTAATGCTGCTTCCACTACTGTTAATATTATTACTATTGCTGTTGTGATTGACGCTGCTGTCACTAACGGTGCAAACGTTGAATATCGACTCTGCGCCTTCTGTTTGAGGTAGTTGTGTTGCTTCTGCTGCATCAGACACGACACTATTTGTAAGTGGTGTTGTGGAAGATGAGTCGCTGGATAAAATTTGCGCATTTTCGGTGCCAATTTGAAACCTAGAGTTGGAGTGAGTTGGAGACTGCTCACTGGTCACACGTTCTACCCTAAAGCTGATGAGACGTTCTGAATTTATACTTGGCTCGTTGCGATTGCCACGCTCCGTGACGACGGCGTCGTTAATGCGTCGCACACCATTTAACTTTTTTGTCGGTTGTACAGTAGGATCCACCTCGACTTCGACATCGATTTGACCGCGTCGATGTCGCGCTGATGAAGTAGACGATGGTTCATCATCATCCTCGTATTCGTCAGAGTCGATAATGTTCTGTTGATGCTGTCGTAATCGAATGATGTCATCTGAAACGAAGCAATCAGATTGAAATCAAAATATATTCAACGGTAAGTGATAAGAGGGTTAAAATCTGCTTGAAACGATAAATTATGAAGGTTCATTTATTCTTATGTTAGTAAAGTATGGAGCCCTAGCAGAAATGAAGGAAGCGTTTGACGCAAAAATTATATAAGTCCGATTACGAATATAGCGTTTTCCGCCGAGTACCTTTCAAATGTTTGGAATTAATGAAATTAATTGAATAAACAAATATTTACATACATACAAGGCGAATTTATATAAGGTGATAGCAGGAGTACAATAACAAAAACTTACATGTATTTTGTTTTTGCTTTGGCGGCATAAACTGTCAAAATCTGTAAGAGTGTGTGTGGAAATTCAAACAAAATTTTTCAATTTGAAATAAGAAGCCGTGAGGCGAAACACATACACAAAATCAGCTGATCTAGTAACACCACCTTATATAAATTCGCCTTGCATACATACTTCTTTCATTAGTACATCGCAACAAGTTGATTGTTCATTTTTAAATTTAACGAACTTGTTAATTCAAATTAATGTTGAGAAAAATGCAACCGTGTGCCACAGGCAAACATTTTCCCGGCACGAATATGCAACTTCCCCTCCAAGTGAAATGTCAAAATTGTGCTCTATCCTTGCAAGTTTTACTGGGTTTTTGGCCAAACGAACACGATTTGGTAACAATTGGTACCAACTTGTACAAGTTTTTTTGCATAGCGAACAGTCTTATTATAAAGCTTCCATCATTTAAAAAATTCATCATGAAAAACTGCCTACAACTACCCAACAAACACTGTAATAAAAGTTTTCAAACGTTTGAGAAAATCTTATTTCCCAATTTGATTTTCAGCATTGCTTAGTCCCCTTTCAGACACGTCAAGTCTTGAAAGCAGTTTTTTTCGCATTCTCTTTTGTGTTTTCTATTTGCTTCCACACGCGTCAACTTTAATTAAATGCAAGTCCTTGGTTCTTTAAATGGGAAGCAACGAAAAGATCAAAAGAGACAAGAAAACTTGAAACGAATTGACGGTACGGAGGTATCTGTACTCTTCGCCACTCTTCTCACCTCCTTCGCCTACGAACGAGCAGACTTGAAAGCAAGACTTGACGTGTCTGAAAGGGGACTTATCATTTGAAAGTAGCTCGTTTTTTTTGTAAACGAGCGACAAAAGAACGCTCAACTCGGGTAAAATTTCCTTTCAGCTACTCAAGCAACCCTGTTGGTATCTGGTAAGAAACATGTGATTAGTTTAACGGGATTTAGAACCAAATAAAATTATAGTTTAAAAAACTAAAACCTAATTGCCATTCGTACTGTCATCAGGTATGTAACTTGAGAATAGAAATCGCCACATCTTTTAGGCGCATCAATATTATATAGTTAAATGAGGAATTCATGAATTCTGCCGCATAAACGTAGTATGCATAGTTGCCAACTTGGTGCTTTAAGCACTAGATTTAGTGCTTTTTGATCATTAAAACGCAAAAAAAAAAAAATTGTTTAGTGCCTAGTGCCTTTTTTAGTGCTCTTCTTCTGAACTCAAATTTCTCATAGATAGTTAAAACATGAAATAATTTGAAATATTTAAAACTGTAGCAGCACTGAATTTAAAAGAATCTACATTCATTTTTTCGTTTGTTGCGATTAGATTTTTCTTTTTCTAAATATACCAGTTTTAATATGCAGTACCTACTTCGGTATTACTTCGTTAGCATGAGAAAAAGTTTTGTGTATTGATTTATACTTATAAACAGGGAACGGATTTTATGGAAATTGCCTTTTTTTCTGCTAAAGAGATAGAGTATATTCGATTAAGAATGTCCACGATTTAGCTTTCCCTGATTCCATATAAACACATTTGATGTTGCCTTTTTTGTCTTTTCTACCTTTAAATAAGTAATTATAGCATTTACAATTTTTTTTTTTAAGATTAAAAAATATACACATGCCTATGCGGCTTATAGAAGCGCATGGACTCTTGCCAAATTTGTGTTGGGAAAATTCAAAGCCGTTTTCTCAGCTAACGTAGGCTTGGAGACAATAAGGGGTGTGGATAAAATTGTAAAGGGCGAGGAAAACGCCCATATTCCTGATAATATGAACGTTTCTAACGTTCCATATTTAAATTGGGCTCCACTTGTATCAACTTACGTTGAGCGAACATTTAGTACATTCAAGGCTTTTCTTCCCGAAAATCGAATGAAAATGCTGTCAGAAAACTTCAAAATGCATCTTGTGGTTCAATGTTACTACAACTAAACAGATTAAAGTTTTATGAGTTAGAAACTCGAAAGGATAAAATAGTCAAAGATTCAAAGTACAAATTTTTTATATAATGAAACTAGTTCATAGTTTTTCTCTTTTTACTTGTAATATAAACATTTCTAAAATAAATGTATTTTTTGATTGTTCTTCGTATTTTCTGTCCTTTTTTAGTGCCTTATTTTGCTTTTTTGCAATACCTAGTGCCTTTCCTGTCTTTTTCGCTATTTTATTTTGAGTTTTTTGCAATACCTAGTGCCTTTTCCTGCCTTTTTCGCTATTTTATTTTGCCTTTTGCAGCCTATTTCGTTATTCCTAAAAATCCGTTCCCTGCTTATAAATATTATTTATTTTTTTTTTTTACTTTTGTTAAATACAAACTGTTATGAAAAAAGTATCCTCTGGTATAAAAAAAAATTGTGCTTTTAGTACGGTAAAACGGTTTTTTCCCCAAGTTTTGGTGCTTTTTGAAACTCAGAAGTTGGCAACACTAGTAGTATGTTTCAACATGGCATAGAAGTCGAAGTATATCGGTAACAGTGTTGCCGCTTTATTACCACTGAATTCTTAAAACTCAAAAGCAAATCATAATAAAATATGTATATAAAAGGTAAGACAGGGCACTTTCTAAATGATATAAACTTCTTTAACATTAATTATGTACCTTTAAAAAAAAAAAGGATTTTTTATGAAAAAATTTGAAATTTTGCGTTTTTTTAATATTTTTGGCTTAAATATATAAACAAGCATATATTTCAAATAAAAGATAAATTAATTGTCTTTATTTTGACATCCTTATGTCTCGTTCATAAAATGTGGTTCATAAAATATTAATATCGAAAAATTTAATTTTAACCTCTTATATCTTCTTTATTTTTTACTTTCGCCAAATAATCTTGAAATCAATTTAAAAACAAATTCCCAAATCGGACAAAAAAGTTGAAATTTATTTCCACTAAGTGCATTTTTTTAAGAATTTGCATGAACGAAAGACACAAGATCAAGGGAGAAGGAAAGAAAGAAAAAAGTTGAAATCTCGAAGCCATCTTTGGTGTAAGAAGTAAACAACGAAGAGAACGAAGAAAACCGCGTAATTGTTGAGCGCATGAATAATCGATTTTATTAAGCAACGTCTTCTATAAATCATGTCGTTGTGTTAAATTATTCTTTACCTTATGTGTACATACGTTGTCACAAGCGAAAATGAAGAAAATCGCAATAAAAAGCCACCACCTAATTGTAAACAATGAACAAATGGAAACAAACGGCTAATGTCAAAATCGCCATACTTTTATCCTAAATGCGATTATAACGGACTACTCTTCTTCCCGCGTGATCTTGTATTTTTGGTTCATGAAGAATTTGTATATTTTAAATAGAACTGTTAAGCTGGATAAATAAAAATTTCCTTTCTACAAAAACAGTGTGCATGCATCATAGGGAACAAAATGCAAATATTTCAATGAGAGTAACTGGATTTTATTTCGTTTCGCTCCACTCACGTTTGAAAAGAGTTGAGAATTCAGTTGAAAATAAAGAAAAATTACATATTAAAAAGTGCCTTTTAGTTTGAGAACGCTATCAATGGGTATTTGAGAACTAACGTTTAAGATTTGAGAAAAGGACTGATTCTCAAATGCATTTCAAATTGAGATGTGAAAATAAATTTATGGGTAAATATAAATTGATAAGGAGAAAATGTTTAAGCCAACAGATAACAATAAACTCCCCAAACATGGCAAAGATATGAGTCTTTCGATCTTTTTTTTATATATACCAACTACATATGTATACTATATGAATTGATAAAACTTTGATTGCACTTTCCAACAACATTGAAATTTTGACATACGTCTCTATATAAGGCTTGTTTTTTTTCACATTCCGGTCAAATGAGCGTAAGTACGAAGTGCTCTCAAAAAAGTGAATAATCTGCCCAAAACTACGGGAAGGACCCATTTTTGTGCCCGAAACTAAACGTGAAATCGCACAAAATTTTAAATTTAAGATTACAGCGGCAGCGAACACAATAACGTTAAATCAATGTGAACCATGGTACAATAATTACAGGTATTGTCTTCCCAGAGAGCCCATATTCCGATCTGCCTTATTTGAAAAACATCAGTGTTGCCCACATTAAAAGTTTACTGTAAGGGAAAAAGGATATTCCTATATACCATAAACCATATATTGTCACCTAATATGCAAAATAACGAAACAACATCGTCACTGAAATGCAAAAAGTGGTAACTTATAAAAAAATTCAAAATTCAATGATGGATTTCATTGAATTACAATTCCCCACATCGTTTTATGAAAAAAATAAATAAAATAGTTTAGTCACGACTTTTTCCATTTCAGTGACGATGTTGTTAAGTTATTTGGCATTTAAGGTGACGATATGTATATAGATGTATTAAAAAAAACAGAGAACTTATTTAATTTACAGAAGTCGAAAAATAAATATTTGCTTAGTAAACAAATTAAAATTTTTTATTACTCACTTTATTTCAAACATTTTTTCTTTTGTTTTCAAAAAAAGTAAAAAAATAAACATTGAAATGCGTCAAAATGAAAATAAGGGAGCACGAATTTCGATGTGAAGCGAAACTCTCTAGAAAGACAATACCTGTAATCAAGGCGTTTGATTGTCAAAATTTCATATTTTGCTAGTGAGCGAGTGAAAACGAGAGAATGTTTGCATTTTCTGTCGCCCTTTTTCATTCGGAGAAGAATAGCTGAAATTTGACAATGGCTTGCTAAAAGCAAAAACAAAATACAAGTAATTGTTGAATCGATACCACCTTATATATATTCGCCTTGGCTGTAATCATTATAAAAAAAAAAATAGGAAGGTAGAATCGCTGAGAGGAATTTTTCAAATTCTTGACGTTTGCAAGCAGCAACTTAAATTTCAAATTTTACACACAAACTCACACACACATTCTCATTTTTAATCTCAAACAACAACAGCTTTGAACAATTCCTTTTTTTTACTCTCAATTTTATACGATTTTAAAATGTTGGCAAACTTCAAACAAAAATCATGGCCGACGCATTGAGAGAACGGTTTTACCTTACTATGCTTTTATCATGCCTGTAATGATTGTACCATGTTGATATACAAAATTCTCCAGCAGCAAAAGTTCTGAGAATTTAGCAGCATTCGCTCTCAAAGAGACGAATAATAATAATATAATTGAAGCTTAGTATATATTATTACAAAAATAAGCTTTGATGTGCAACTTGTTTAAACATCCAAATCTCCATAATTGTGGACGTGGCCGCCATATCAACGCTTCTGCAGTTGGATCATTACAACCAGCAAGGATAAACGACGAATATCCAGGTGATTGCCAGAAACATGAATGTGAAAAAGTGAAAATTTTGGGAAATCAACTTTGAAAGTACGAGACTTAACTCTACATTTATGCAATTCAAATTGTAAAAAATGTGATTTCCGTGTATGCATGGTATTCTGGGTTTTAGTATAACATAGAACATCCAAAGGTTAATCAAGTCAACCTAATAACTCAAAACTGATACATTTGCACATTCATGCTTCTGGCATAAGGGTGACGATATGCCATTTGTATACCAAACAAAAAAAACAAAGAATCCCAAAAGCGGAATCATTACAAGTATTTTCTATATGTAACTACTTAGTTAAAGGTAAAGCGAATTCACATAAGGTGATAGCGATAGTACAAAAAAATTCATATATTTCGTTTTTGCTGAAAATATGTTGAGATAGGACGCATTAGAATCGGCGGCTGAGAAAGGGGGTTTTTGATCTGAATTCTGAAACGGGGCGTTATTCAACCAAGTTCTTGAAAATTTTTTTGACATAGGGCGTTTTCGGACTGGCTATCAAGATAGATCGATTTTCCACTTAGCCGCAAAGTTATAGCCGGTCAAAGTTTTTCGATTTAAAAAAAAAACAAAAAGTTTTTCAAACCCTGGGAGTGCCCCTGAAAATTGGTTTAAAATTTTGAAATTTTCGTGGATGCCTTTATTTTGTACACAATAAACGTGATAAAATTATAAATTCCATACAAATAGCACACAAATTTATATATAATTTTACCACGTTTATCGACTGTTTGTGTTACACGGGCCTACTTAGGCCCAGTAGGTTGACTTAGCGCCTCCCAGAGTGAGAGTATTTGTCCAATGAATTGCTAATTTCATTGTGAAAACTTCTACCACAATGATTTGATCCGCCGTCTTTTCATTGTTTGCGCCGCAGAGGTAAATAATTTGAATGGCATGTAAACAAACGATTGTGATTTTAGTAATTTAACTGATTTATTGCACACGCCATCTACGTATTTCTAGCAGTGTGTCCATTTTGTGAGTAATTCCTCAAAACGTGAGGAATTTCAGGTGCGCTAGAGTATTTTTTGAGGAATATGCTCTCAATATATTTGCAGATAACAAATGCAACCATATTTTACACAACACAGTTGTTAAATCGCTCTGCAAATTTTTGAACAGAAAGCTTGCCGAAGTTTTATAAAGAGCGAAATACAAAACACAAGCGAGATGTCAAACATTCTTCAAACCGTTTCGCATTTCGCCATACACCATGCAAACATGACTCGTTCAAGCAAAGAATTTTAGTTTTCTTCCGGTTCACAATGTAAACAACGTAAACAGCTTTAAGCAAAGGGATAATACGCTTGGTTTGTCAAGCCGCTTGTGTGGTGTTTTTCGCTCTTAAGAACATCTGCATTTGCTGCTAAATATTCAAAATGCTATCGATATTTTTTTCATTCCATCGTTATATTTTCAACTTATTTCGAACTTGCAAAAACTCGATAACGAATGGAGAGAACACGCTTTGTTCGATCATAAAATATTCATATTGATTCTTCATTAGATCCAGAAAGTTATAGGAAACAAGTTTTTGAATTAAAAGATTTTTCAGGTTCATATAAGTTTCCCAATTAAAAAAAATTATATCTGCATTACGAATATAGCCCTTTTCTAATGCTTCAGTAGAACGTACATTTAGTAGTTTAAAAAAAGTGTAGGACTGACTTGAGGACCAGATTGAGCACTGATATAGTTGCAGCAATATTATATACAAATAGGCACGGTGATACTCCCCAAGAACAAATGTGCCAATTGAATTGGAGAATGTAATTAATTTTTATACTAAGTACCTGTAAATAGTATGTAGTACACAATACTCATATCTATCTGTATAAGAAAATTTTGAGTAATTTGTTTGGATTTTGAGGATTTTTCATTTGTTTTGAGGAATTTGGTAATTGTTTTGTGGCAACACTGATTTCTAGCCTTTCTATTAGCTGGTTCTGTCCGCATATTAGGCATTTCGAAAATACTTCAGAGAGTTCTTATTCTAAAAGTACCTAATTAAAATTCTTGAGAGGCTTTAACTTCAAGCCTATACATACATATATGCATATGTAACTATGTACACAAAAACGTTAACTGAAAAATAATCATAACATTTATCTAAGTGGACGACAGGTGTTATAGCATTCACTTGAACTAAACTATTATTAATTCACATCAAAAGCAAGTGCATGTTCATAAATAAGTACCTTAAAAGTATGTATTATCTAGCCAAGTACTACTACCCATATACATATGTACATATGCACATTAGACTGCATCACCAAAAAAAGTTGCGGTTTTTCCGCCGGGATTACCAAATCTATTATATACTATATCCACCCAAATATTGCGGAAAAATATTACGATTTACGTGAGCTGGACCGATTTGAAAAGACCACCAAAAATGGAGTTTTTTAGGTATAAAAGTAGTTTCTTAAAGGAAAAAAGTACCGACTTTTTTTGCATGCAGAGTGATGCAGTCTAATATACATATGTACATATGTATATATGGATATTAGTTTGCAAACGAAAGTGAAATTTCTACGATAACACAATTAGTATTGCTGGTAGACCGACCTGTCCGGGTGTCTATACACGGATTTTATTAACGAACAACCTACTCAGAGCACACATGTTTGTTTGTTTACATAGCAATAGAACTAAATAAAAAGAAACATGTCCGAGTGGCGGACTAAATGTCCACCATATTTTGCCATTATAAAAGGATCGAAGGAATCAACATCTAGACAGTGCAACTGGTAACTTATTCGCGTTATTTAGTGCAATAATTCAAATTTGCAGCCATAATAATGGTTTATTACTTTTTATTGCTGATTCCAATGTGTTCCACCATGGCAAACGCTCAGCAACAGTGGAATTTTCGAACGATTTCCAAAACAGCAAACATAGAGGTAAATTTTAAAGAGATGGGCGAAGAACTACAGAGATGCACCTAGCAATTACGTTATCTGAACGTGTTATTGCGCGTAAAATATTTGGAAAGCGAGGTTGCTAATCCCTACGTGCGATGGTTTCTTCACCGCAGTCAATTGCCAGTGATTATCACCGCCTACGATCACACACGCTCAATGGAGGAGAACTCATGGCCAAAATTTCAGATGGAGCGAGATAGTTTTGTAATTGTAACCGATTCACAACGGCTGAGCGATGTCGCAACGCATTTTGTGCAAAGGGCGGGTGTATTTTTCTTCGTAATTTCCGATGCTCAATTACCGAAAGATGTCACAGAGTTTCGTAATGTTTTAATCTCCATATGGATTAAATACAGAGCTTACAAGAATTTCCTACTAACAAGTGAAGGTATATTTTATTTCGATCCTTTCGATTATGATGTCACATATCACGGTTATGGAAAAATTGTTCCAAACAAGAATACTGAACCCTTGGAAAGGGCCCTCTTTCGCGACATGCACGGTTATCCTCTGCGTGTACAAATTTTTAAATCAGTCTATGCCCGTCCATTCATAAACATGAGCAATCCTTCAATAAAAGATGTTTACGGAGTAGATGGCAGAGTGGCCGAACTGTTGCAGCAACGAATGAATTTTACGATGGTCTTACAAGAGCCGGATCCTAACTATTTTGGGTAAGTGGGTAGTAGTATTAGTATTCCAGAATTTTTTACACATAAAAAAAAAACAAGTAATTTTTAGAAAAAAAAACCGCCTTCACCTCTCATATAAAATATATATATATATATATCTCATGATCCACTGGTCGGATCTTAACGGTAACATACATAAAAAAAAAATAAAAATAAAAATATTCCTCCTCCTTTTTTAGAAGTCGGTTAAAAACTAAAAGCAGAATTTAGAGGTATGGGCAGCAATAGGGAAGAAGGAATTTCTTTCTTTGTTAGATGGAGCTGTGGTTGGGCCGAATTAGGTTTCTTTTAATTCAACCAAATAAATTAGTGTAACAAATTCTTTTTAACCGACTTTCAAAAAAGGAGGAGGTTATCAGTTCGTCGGAATATTTTTATTTATATTTTTTGTTATGTATGTTACCGCATAACTTTGGACCACGTCAACCGATTTCGATAATTCTTTTTGCATCGGAAAGGTAGTGTCCCATACTAATCTGGTTATATATATATATATATATATATATATATATATATATATATATATATTTGTGCTAAAAATTACTTGTTTTTAATTATTATTTCGTATGTCCTTTCTTCACACAGAGTCCCTAAGTGCATAAAGCTGTTTTGAACTGCTGTGTAGTTCTGTGTCTCTAAGTGTGTAGTTCTGTGTCAGTTTGGAAAAAATTCCACACGCCATGCATCACTAAAAAAAATACGTATGTACATATGCATGTAAATAATTTGAGAATTTGAAAGTATCAGATATAGATATGTACATATTTCAAAGCCCATTTTCGTTACTTTTTTGACCGCACCTTAACTAAGCCTACTTAGAGAGCCAATATACTGTGTAATCGTCATTTAATTAAATTAATTTTTTCCTCGTCCTCAGTGAACGCACAAGGGATGGCAAATATAATGGAGCGATCGGTTCAATTATCGAGGATAAGATCGACTTGTGTCTGACAGGCTTCTTTATCAAAGATTACTTGGTTGCAGAGTACATGGACTTTACGGCCGCGGTTTATGATGATAAGTTATGCATTTACGTGCCAAAAGCTCAACGCATTCCGCAATCGATACTACCGCTCTTTTCCGTACACTTCGGTGTTTGGTTGAGCTTTCTTTTGGCCGCATTCGTGTGCTGTTTTATTTGGTGTCTTATTCGTCGTATAAATCTATTTCTGAACATTCGGAAATGTAGCGACACACCACTGGATCCAAGCCAGTGGTGGCAATACGTCGGAATTTATGTTGATACATGGGTCCTTTGGGTGCGTGTTAATATTGTGCGGTATCCACCATTCAACTCGGAACGGGTTTTTATAGCATCGCTATGCTTAGCGAGCGTTATTTTTGGTGCTATTTTCGAATCCAGTTTAGCTACAGTGTTCATACACCCTTTGTATTATAATGATATCAATACACTACAGGAATTAGACGAAAGCAATCTGAAAATTATATATAAGTACTCATCAATGGCTGATGACTTATTCTTCAGTAATACATCTCTATTATATGCAAGACTTAATAAAAAATTGGTGCATCTTCAGAATTTAAACGCTGACGTAATGTTGGATATTGCAAAAAATGGCGGGAAGGCCAGCGTCACACGCCTTACCTCAATAATGTTAGAATCTTTGCAGTTTATTCTAGCAAAACAAGTTCATGTTATACCTGAATGTCCAAAATTGTATACCATTTCCTATGTCATTCCAAAAGATGCACCGTGGGAAAAGGCCATCAACGATTTACTACTACAATTCTGTTCGTCTGGATTAATCACCAAATGGATTAATGATATGAAAACCGAGGTCGATATTGAAGTAATGACCAATGGCATGAATTTTGAGAAAAGCAATGTATTCAAAGTGCTTACAGTTACTGATTTACAGTTAGCATTCTATGTGGTGTTGTTGGGCAACTCGCTGGCTGCAATGTCACTCGTCGTAGAGCTCTGCCTACAGGGTTCGAGAACACATCTGCATTCAACGGTCAAGAAAAATATAATGTTCAGATCGTCTTTGTCGGTATAATAAGAACGATTGTACAGGGTGGCGACCAATAACTGTCGCCCAGTTTTTTTTTTATTAAAGGGTCCTTTTTTGGTTTTTGCGAATAAAGTAGTTTATTATTAATTTGGTACATTTTTTACTTTAATTTTATTAATTAGTTTTAAAATTGTAATCCCTATTTTCATTTGCTAGCAGTGTAATCTTTTGGAGATAAGTAAATACGGCATGCATACCTTTTTCAGGTGTAATTTTCTTAAACACTGTATTAAAAAAGACAAAAAAAGAAAAACTATAGAGGGTTGTTCGAATGAATGGCCGTCCTATTCACCAGTACCGAGTTTATTCGATTGCCTTATATTGGACAAAAGAGGGAGTATAAAGGACTCAGAATGGAGGAAATTAGTCTATGGTTACAGAAGATATGGAATAAATTAAGCGATGAAGACTTGCGCATTCTCTGCGCTTGCGATTTTCTCTGAAAGTGTCTAACGCTGCTAAACCGAAATGAAGATTAAAATTTAAAACTAATTAATGAAATTGAAGTAAAATATGTACAAAATTAACAATAAAATACATTTTTCGCAAATCTTTATGTAAAGAAAACCTGGGCGTCAGTTATCTATCGCCAGCCTGTATATGCATTTCAAATTAGACTAGCATTTTAATAAACGAAGTTTTGAATTTTTTGAAGATGTGGTAAAACTGTATTTTAATTAGGGCTGATGATTTCACCCGGGTAATGAGCTACCCGGGTAGCCCGGGTACCCGGGTATTTTATTACCCGGGTAGACCGGGTACCCGGGCAGTATGGTAATTACCCGGGTACCCGGGCACCCGAAAAAATCTGGAGAGGTGAAAATTAAACGCATTTACGATTATATAACGCAAACGAACGTACATAGGGAAAATCTATAAGAATCTTCCATACCATATGGGGAAATATTATAATATACAACACATACATTGCACTTGACAAATCCGTCATTCATCACACAAGCGTACTTCCAAACCCAGCTTGTTTTAGGCATGTCTAAAATATTAATATTTACGAAGTTGGTAATGCACGTACAGATATCGGATCGGTAACAAATAAAATTATTGAGACACACCCACCTGCGAATCTAAACGATGACCGACAGTTGAGGCAATTTTTGTGTTGGAATGAAAAAAATTTTAAAATTTCTTCCACAATTATTTCACAACAATACGTTCATCAACCTACTTCTCGTATTAAGGAAACTTCATTAAATAATTGTGATTTTAAAAGCTTTAAATATTATGAGAAAAGAAACTATAATTTGAACAAGCTGATACAATAAAAGTACAAAATCTTTAGGTGAATGAATAGCATAAGGCTTTGTTACCTTACTTTTTGTACCAGAAGTGGCCTACCACAGGGTTTAGTTCTTATATAATTCCCAATGAGAACGTTCTCGTCAGTTTTGTTCTCATTTTGGTTTTGGTTTTGACGCGTTCTTGGGAACAAAACTACGACAATGGCATTTAGTTTCGATCATACATTTCGTTCTCAGTCCCTGTTTTAAAATATTAATATTTAATATTCTTTAAAATATACATACATACATACATATGTACACATGCATGTATGTATATGCATTTACAAAAATTAGAAGTTTGAATTTAAGTACAGAAACTAATGTTTTAATTTACTTTTCTTGTCTCCGTCTACTCAGGCAAGCGGTTAGGTGTACATAGTCGCGTACACTCTAGACATAAAAAAATAATTATAAAAAAAAATTTTCTCACTGAAAAAATATTTATCCTCACCAAAAAGATTATACAAGAAGCTTTATGTCGCATTACCCGGGTGTTTTCGTTTAACCGGCACCAACATATGTATATTACCCGGGTACCCGGGCAAATCGGGTAATACCCGGGTAATCGGGTACCCGGGTATCATCAGCCCTAATTTTAATCATCCATCTCTTACCGCATAAAATCATATTTCTACTTCAAAACGATATAGCCCAGGTGTAGGAGGGCTTGGCTTCATTAGGGGTTTCCAATTGGTGTCAGTTGGCACAGTTGAGAAACGGTTGGTATGCTTTATCGGACTGCCGTTTCAATTCACTGTATGCGCGTAATTATACTGGGTGGCGCCGAATGAGCTATATGGTTTGAATTCTTTATAACAGCTTTTTTTTTACTCTATGCCAACGGGATCCACGCCTGGAAATGACCTGCCAGCAGCGTTGCCGAATGCTTTTGCTGAAAAATCGTCATTTTACCTTGAAAAAATCGCAATTTCGGCCAAAAAAACCTCAAACCAACATTCGAAATGAAATCATGGCCATTACACCCGAAATTCTGCGAAAAGTTATGCAAAAAAATTTGCTAAAAAGAGCACGTATGGGCGAAGCGGAAAATGGGCATCACTTATAGGATATCATTTTTCAAAGCTAATTGCAAAAAATTTCCCAATAATATACTGTATTAAAAAAAAATTATAATAATCGCATAAATAAAAAAGTTATAAACCATTTAAACCATATAGCTCATTCGGCGCCACCCTGTATAATAAAATATGATATTCTTATGAAGGCGGATTCATCGTTCTAGTTTTGAACTAAAGTTGAAGTTGAGTTATTAACTCAAAAGCGTTCAGACCTTTGCTCTCCCAGAGAGAGAAACACAAAACCATGGTAAAAAAAAGTTCTAAACTAGAACGATGAATCCGCCTTTAGAGTTGGGGTTGTGTTAATTTTGAGGACCCTTAGCTAGTTTCCTGCTACCTCCATACGGTAGATGTTTTGAATTTGAAGCCAAAAGTATAAACTGCGCCTACAATCAGTATAGCGATCGTTTTCAGGCTGAAAAGTAAGTACTCTTTATACCTTCATATACATACATGCGTATGTAAATATTAAAAAAACATATATTTGCCCATGTCATGGACAATTGTACTTTAAAGTATGACAAAATTGAAATACAAGGCAAACGGGAAGAAAATAAGGACGGTCGTATGGAGGTTAGTTCCGATCCCTCCCCTGAGGAGATCTCCTTAGATGAAGTGTGTGGAGACTGTGCTGCTGTTTCTGACCTCCTGGATGAGCGCCGCCTGGCGTGGGCAATCAATTCGTTCGAACCCTTTAAATCCCCAGGACCTGATGGCATCATACCTGCGCAGCTGCAAAAGGCGGCGGAGGTGTCGTGCCTTTGGTTGGACCCAATCTACGCGAGCTGCGTTAGATACGAGTACATTCCCAGGGGTTGGAGGGTCGTCAAAGTGGTGTTCATCCCGAAGGCCGGAAGGAGCTCTCATGTTGCCCCCAAGGACTTTAGGCCAATCAGCCTTTCATCGTTTCTGCTGAAGACGCTGGAGAGGCTGGTTGATATGCACATAAGGAGCATGATTCCTCGGGATCGCCTGTCTAGAGCTCAGCATGCTTACTGTAAAGGACAGTCAGTCGATACTGCTCTGCATACAATTTTGAGGTGTATAGAGGAAGCCTTCACTCACAAGGGCTTTGCCGTAGGAGCCTTCCTAGATATCGAGGGGGCTTTTAATAATGTCCTGCCGGACGCAATAGTTAAGTCGCTAGATAAGCTTGGGGTTGAGGTCAGTCTCATTAGGCTCATCGAAAGCTTGCTGCGTGACAGAACTGTCATGGCCGTCTGGGTCAGCGCCTGCTTGTCTCGCATGGTGAGCAGGGGCACTCCGCAGGGAGGGGTTCCCTCACCCCTTCTCTGGGTCGTCGTGGTGAATGAGCTGCTAGTGGAGCTGGAGAAACACGGCTATCGGGTAATTGCCTATGCAGACGATGTGGCGCTCCTAGTTAGAGGTAAGTACCTGAACACTCTGTATGAACTGACCCAACGGTACCTTAACATAGTTACTAACTGGGAGGCAAAAAGTGGTCTTGCCGTAAGCCCCAGTAAGACAGAGCTGGTCGTATTCACAAAAAAATATAAAATCCCCGCCGCTGCTCTTCCTTCGGTTGGAGGTCTGCGCTTACAGCTGTCTGGCAGGGTCAAGTACTTGGGCTTGATCCAGGACAGGAAGTTGTCGTTGGTACCAAACATCGAGGAAAGGGCAAGAAAGGCATCAGTGGCCTTATATTGCAGTAGGGGAGCTATTGTTAAGAGATGGGGCATCTCCCCTAAAGTTGTCTATTGGCTATACGAGACCGTAGTCAAGCCAATTATGTTCTATGGGGCCCTAGTCTGGTGGAACTCACTGGAAAGGTCTATACTAGCTAGGCAGCTAGAGCGCCTACAACGGGCTGCTTTAATTGGTATTAGTGGGCCACAGCGAACCGACCCCACATTAACCATGAACGCAATGCGAAACGTAGCGCCTGTCGACGCTGCAGGCAGAGTTGTCGCGGCGCGAACGACTATTAGGGAAACCGATTGGTTGACCAACTTAAGGACTGGACACTCTGGAGTTCTAGGAGGTTTCGACTTTATCCCCGATCGCACAGATTACTGCACCACCGTTACGGCTCCTAGGAGCTTCTTCTCTGTCCACTTTCCCTCAAGGGACGAGTGGGCCGGGCGGGACTTCTGGAGGAGGGGTGCGGTGAACTTCTTTACGAATGGATCGAAACTGGATGGCAGGGTTGGTGGAGGGGTCTTCTGTCGAAAGCTTTCCATCAGCACTAAGTTCAGGCTCTCGGACTTCTGCAGTGTATTCCAGGTGGAAGTTGCTGCTATCAAGGAGGCGGTGGATTCACTGCTAAGGAGCGTTATAACCGTCAGGGAAGTGAGCGTATATTCTGCTATCAGGGCTTTGAGTTCGTTAGAGGTGCGCTCAAACCTGGTAAGGAATGACATTGGGGGGAACTGCGTGGCTAACGAGCTGGCCAGGGAAGGAACCCGTGAAACGTTACTACCGAATAAAGAGCGGCTGGGGGTACCATTGATCGCTTGCGGTTCGCTCTTGGATAATTGGGCCTCATGTCAGCTCAGCGAACGCTGGGCGATTACCATGACATGCGCGATCGCAAGGTCCTTTTGGCCGAGGGTGGACCGGGGGCGATCCTGGGCACTCATCACACTCACAAAGCCACAGCTATCACTTCCGGTGGGGGTTTTAACGGGTCACTGTCCTA